ACCCCCCAACCCGACTGGCAGGAGCTGGTGATGGGAAGAGCGTTGGTTTCAGGGCGTTGGTTGCAGGGTCTAGGGGCTAAACCCTCAACCCTAAACCCTAAACCCTAAACCCTAAACCCTAAACCCTAGATCCTAAACCCTAAACCCTAAACCCTAAACCCTAAACCCCAAACCCTAAACCCTAAACCCTAAACCCTAAACCCTTAACCCTAAATCCTTCAGGAATGCTTTAGGAATGCAGTCCAGCGAGGACATTCGCGTGGGCCTTGTTGCCGTCGTGTGAACCTACATCTCATAGAAACAGCAGTTCAAGTTCGGAAACTTAGAGCCCTGAGCCTTTAAATCATACATGGGGGGGTGATTCCGATGTTAGGGGTACCTTATTGGGGTCCTTGCTATAAGGGACTATATTAGGGTGGGAGGAGGGGAGGAGGGGGAGGAGGGTTCGTAGCTTCGTAGTTTCTTGACAATCTCACTTCATGCAAGACCTGGCCGCAGGGCCCCCCTGAAAGCAGCAAGGGAAATTTCAGGACCCTCAACCCTCAACCCTAAACCCTAGACCCTAGACCCTAAACCCTACACCCTAAACCCTAAAACCCTAAATCCTAAACCCTAAACCCTAAACCCTAAACCCTAAACCCTAAACCCTAAACCCTAAACCCCAACCCCAAACCCTAAGCACTGGTCTTGAGGGTTTGGGGGAGTGATCCCGGCTGCCCTTCATTCAACTTGGCCCCCTAGGGGCCATCTCCAAATTTTCCCTGGGGTTTCGGGTTTAGGGTTTCGAGTTTAAGGTTTAGGGTTTCGGGTTTAGGGTTTAGGGTTTAGGGCGGACGAACCTGATGAATTTGCTCAGGCTGGTTGGAGGTCAGATCTCCATCTGGACGGATCTACTACTGGAACCAGCCTGCTGGAAGGTTTCAGAGGGTTTAGGGTTTAGGGTTTAGGGTTTAGGGGGTTATACAGGGCTTCAGCTTAAGGTTCCTGTATAATGGGGTGTGTTTCAAGCTTGTTGGGGTGAAGTTTAAGGTTCCTTTGCTTTGCCTCTAAGCCTCTAAGCCCTCTAAGCCCTTGCTCCCCAGCGTTCTTGGACCCCCCCCCCAGCCCCTCCAGGTATCCTTCCCCCCCCAACCCTCAACCCCAAATCTGCAGAAGCCCTGTATGCCCCCAGTCAACCCTAAATCCTCGACCCTAAACCCTAAAGCCTAAACCCCAAAGCCTAAACCCTAAACCCTAAACCCTAACCCGTAACCCCTAAACCCTAAACCCTAAACCCTACACCCTAAACCCCAAACCCTAAACCCTAAACCCTAAACCCTAAACCCTAAACCCTAAACCCTAAACCCTAAACCCTAAACCCTAAACCCTAAACCCTAAACCCTAATCGGCCCTCCGAGCCCAATTCTCAGCACCCTCAAGCGGGCGTCTTCGGGGGGATCCTCGCAGGCCAGAGGAGGCATGCTTGGGTTCAAAGTTTAGGGTTTAGGGTTTAGGATTTAGGGTTTAGGGGTTTAGGGTTGAAGTTTAGGGTTTAGGGTCTTAGAAGCCCAATCGCTTATAAGTGGGTTATATGTACAGTGATAGTTGGTTAATAAGTACCATGAACCTCCAAGTAGGGCTGGATGTTGGCCCCGTGGCCTGCGCAACAGTCAGAGAGCCTGCAGGCTCTTAGCAATTCAGGGCCTCAGGGCTGTTGCAGGCTGCCGCAAACCCTAAGCCCGAAGAGTGTAAGTTTTAGGGTTTAGGGTTTGGGGTTTAGGGTTTAGGGTTGAGGGCATAGGGATTGTTAGGGAGGGAGTTGGGGTGCTCTCGGCACCGGGGGCCCGCACAGCCGAGGATCACGCAAGAAGTGTGGCTCGATTGCACCTCAAAAGACGTTTGATACGGAAGCCGGAGCTGCCAATATAGGGTTTAGGATTTAGGGTTTAGGTTTTAGGATATGGGCATTTCCCAAATAGGGGTGCCGCTTTTCTACCCCAAATAGGATCGAAGCCGCTTCACCCAAAATACCCATCCTTATTCTGATGATTACGATTATTATGATTATTTTGATTATGATGATGATGATTATTATTATCATCCTACTCAATTTCGTCCCGGACATGTTCAGCAGAGATCCTGAACTAAGCCTCACATCCTCCTCCGAGGTGGGACCCGCCTGAAGAGGAGGAGGAGTTCCTCCCTGACCGATCGAGCGAAAGTGCTCACTAAGCAGCCGAGATCTCTTCCTTAGCTCCGCGGCCTCATTACGTCGTGTCAGATGAGCTACTCGAAGCCCCGATCCTGATAGCCTAAGCCCTGGGCCCTCAACGGATCCTTGTCAACCAAAGGCAGGGTTCGGGGTGCGTAGCAGGGGAGGCCATGACGTGGCGAAGCCACGGGGCCTCTCCCCTTGTCCCCTGGCCTCGGATCCTCCAACACATGCGGATGTCCCTAAACCCTAAAGCCGTTTTGGGGATTGGATTTGTTCCTCAAAAAGCTTGCCAGCACTAAGCAGTTCCAACATTCAGGGAGTGGCGGGGAGAGTATCTGCAGCGCACGCGTGCGGCGCGCACGTTTTTTCCTCGAGGCTTGCTCGCATTTTGGACACAAGTCGTGCTCTCGCCTTGGCGCGGGCGTGGCCGCGGACGCCATCCTCAAAACTGTCATCGCTTTGGGACTCCTGGACTCACGAAATGCGAAGCTAAGCACATCTAACGCTCGTGCAGCTCGAAAGTCGACGTTTGTAGAACAAAGCGTAGGTACACAGAATGCCGGGGGCATGAATTCCTCACTCGTCTTATCCGGCTTGCCACAACCCGCCAACTCTAGGATGCGAGTTACATCCGGTCTAGAGTGCCCAGCTGTGAGTTCCCGACTCATCTTTGTATCTTCTTCGTTTCTCACGTGTGGAGAGCTGCCCAAGAGCAGGTGGAGCGTAGTCCTCGTGTTCTTTGTGATCTCTTGGCGTACTTTGGGACTTCTCTTGTGAGATGTTCTTCGAGTGCCGATGGAATATTGTCTGAATGGCTTGGAGTGGTCTCGCTTTGACACCCTAAGCTCTCAACCCTTTACCCTCAACCCCAATAAACCCTCAACCCTAAACCCAAACCTAAACGTGCTCTTGGACGATTGAAGTACTCTTTCGTTTCCCTATCGTCTCTCACTGTTTGGGGTTTTCAAGAAGGTTTTTTTTGGGTTGCCATGCTTGACGGCCTGGCGTCTCATGGGGGGGTTTCTCAAACTAGGAGTACCGTACTTAGTATAGAGGACACGATGGGGTCCCCCCACCCCCCCCCCCCCCCCCCCCCCCCCCGCCCCCCAATTGTGTGTCCCACAGTTGTGCTACGTTTGGCCTGCTATTGCTTTACGTATATTATGAGTGCCTTGCGGAGGGTGCCGGTGAGGGCTTGGACTAGCCCATTCTTTGAAAATCATGGTGGGTTGTAGATGGTTACGTAAGTGTGTGTGGGTGGGTGTTGACCTAAACCCTAAACCCGAAATCCTAAGCCCTAAGCCCTTAGACCCTAAACCCTCAATCCTAAACCGGGTAACCCTAAACCCGAAGCCCTAAGCCCTAAGCCCTAAACCCTAAACCCTAAACCCTAAACCCTAAGCCCTAAACCCTAAGCCCTAAACCCTAAACCCTAAACCCTCGGGCTTCTGGAGGACTCCGTTTCCTCCGTCCCGGCGGTGGTGCGTCGGCGCAGCCCTGCATCCCCTAAGCAGTGGCAAGGCTCTACCAGTAGGGGGTTTTAGAGGGTTTATGGGACACCTGTAGGTCGTTGTTATTCTATTATCGTGGAGATATGAACTATCTCAAACTCGATAGACAAAGTCCTTAGACTTGGGTGCGCCCACACTCTCACACCAAGATCCCCAAGTCCTAAATCCTGGCGTCTGATTGCTTAAGGAGGCCAACCCTAAACCCTAAACCCTAAACCCTAAACCCTAAACCCTAAACCCTAAACCCTAAACCCTAAACCCTAAACCCTAAACCCTAAACCCTAAACCCTAAACCCTAAACCCTAAACCCTAAACCCTAAACCCTAAACCCTAAGCCCTAAACCCTGAACCCTGAACCCTGAACCCTGAACCCTAAACCCTAAACCCTAAACCCAGGCAATGATAGCTCGGAGCCCCCCATGTACGGGAGCCCTCGGCCAAGGGACCGCGCCGCGAAAGTCCTGCCCCGTTAACGCAAATGGCTAGTGCCATGACTGCGCCAAAGCTTGTCTCATGTCCTCCTCGCTCCTCGTAGGGTTTAGGGTTTCGGGCTTAGGGTTCAGGGTTTAGGGCTTGGTCACTCTGTCGTGTAGCAGCTTCTTCAGAGTCCTCCCTCTCCTCCTTCGAGACGAAGCGCATGCATGGAATCAAACTTGTGCATGATGCCCCATCCAAAGGATGCGACATGAAAAAAGTCATGAAGCGGCCATGCGCCGCTTCGGTTGAGGATAAGATGTAGCCCTAAACCCCTAAACCCTAAACCCTAAACCCTAAACCCTAAACCCTAAACCCTAAACCCTAAACCCTAAACCCTAAACCCCAAACCCCAAACCCTAAACCCTAAACCCTAAACCCTGCTGACACGGCAACAGTCGGAGCCTGGTCTGGCAGGGCTGCTGTATGCTGCTGTCCTGTGTTGTCCTCTCAAAAGGAGTTAGCTGCTGTCATGCGCGCAGTGCACACCGAGAAGTCTGCAGACCTTCCTGAAACTAGGCCGCACGTCGCGAGGAGCTGGCCGAAACTCGGAAAGACTGGGGCAAACCGCCGGAAGCCATGTCGAAGCCGGCCGGGGTCGAGCTTCCGAGCTACCTGAAGGTCATCAAGCAGCCCGCAGCTCAGAGGGATCCGTGTGGGAAGCATGTGGGTGTAGGGTTTAGGGTTGAGGGCTTCTTGTACGGCGGCCATCTGTGCTTTGCTGAACTGAGTGAACTGGGGCTCACAGGAGGCCTCAGAGCCAGGGCTGGCTGTTTGCCGAAGGGGCGGAACCCTGAAAAACCCTGGCTGCCTCCTCCTCCATGCAGCCGGTGCAGCGCACGGGCTTGGCCTTGGCGGCGGCCTGGCCGGGCGTGGGGCTGAAGCCGCAGTTCATGCTGCTGCCGCTGGTCCTGGCTAGCGCCAGCGCCGTTGCCTGGCGCCGGCCGGAGCGCAGCGTCTCGGTGCTGCTGGCCCTGGCTGCCACCCTGCTGTCGCCTTTGGGGGTGGCGCTCTTCCGACCCCTGGTGAGCCTGGTGACCTCCTTGCTGCTGAAGTCCTCGGCCAAGCACCTCAGTGACATCCTGGTAAGGACGACGCTGGAGCTGGTGCGGAACGAGGAAGGCATGGACCAGCTGGTCGACTCCGCCAGCGAAGCCATGCGCAAGGCCATGACCAACAAGCAGGTGCAAGGTGCCCTGAAGGAGACGGTCATCGACTCCCTGCAGGATGATCACCTGCAGCAGGAGATGATCAAGACTTTGACCAAGGCGCACTCCGATCTTCCCAGTCCCACAGTCTTGTGTCCGTTTTGCCCGCTTTAACCCAACAGACCCAGGCCCTCACGACTGCAAGCCTCCCTGAAGCTTCCTGAAGCTTCAAGGGACCCTAAACCCTAAACCCTAAACCCTAAACCCTAAACCCTAAACCCTAAACCCTAAACCCTAAACCCTAAACCCTAAACCCTAAACTTTAAAGCCCCCCAGTTCAGGCCGCCATCCTATCCTCCGGCGACCACCTGCTGCGCGCGCACCTCCTCGACGTGGGCAAGGATGCCCTGGTCCGCGCCATGCGCCTCAGCCCCGGGGTACGGCCGTGACCGAGGGGTTTAGGGTTTAGGGTTTAGGGTTTAGGGTTTACGGTTTAGGGCTGGGGCGTGTGATGGTGGCCAAAAAGGGACTCTCAACAGTTCTGTGGCTTCTGGGGGGTGACTGCCTTCAAACTGCAGGCTTCGGTTTCCAGAGCAAAAAGAAATGGCCCCGAACCCGATAGTCCCCTTAGGAACTTAAGAGCCATGGAGCATTCGATTAAAAGTTTTGAGCCGCCATTTAAACACATGGTTGTCTAAGGGGAGTACCGAAGCCGCACTTAACTCGGGAAAGATAACCCCAAACCCTAAACCCTAAACCCTAAACCCTAAACCCTAAACCCTAAACCCTAAACCCTAAACCCAGGAAAGATGAGGGCTTCATGGCTGAAATGGTGTCCATGATCTCGAAGTCCGCGTTGGCCGCTTCGCGGGACCGAGAGCTCCGCGAGAACACCTTGGATGTCGTGAAGTCCGCGGTGACGGATGCGCTGAAGGACAAGGGCCAGCTGAAAAGCCCCAACAATCTCCGCGACCCCTAAACCCCCTAAGCCCCAGGCCCCCCAGCCGGTTCTAAACCCTAAACCCTAAACCCTAAACCCTAAACCCTAAACCCTAAACCCTAAACCCTAAACCCTAAACCCTAAACCGTAAGCCCTAAACCCTAAACCCTAAACCCTAAACCCTAAACCCGAAACCCGAAACCCTAAACCCTAAACCCTAAACCCCAAACCCCAAACCCTAAACCCTAAACCCCGAACTGCGAAGCCGAAGCGGCCCAGGACAAGGGCTTCATTCAGGAGATGTTCAGCGCCTTGGTCGCCCAGTGGTACCCTTTTTCCCTTATAAAGCAGCCAACCCAAGAAAGGGGTTACCTTAAACCCGAAACCTTTTACCTTAAACCTTAAACCTCAAACCCTAAACCCTAAACCCTAAACCCTAAACCCTAAACCCTAAACCCTAAACCCTAAAACCTAAACCCTAAACCCTAAACCCTAAACTCTAAACCCTAAACCCTAAACCCTAAACCCTAAACCCACCAAGGCACTCTGACTCGCGCGGCCATCTCTGCGTCCAAGGACCCTGACCTCCGCGAGTCCCTCCTCTCGGTGGTGCCTGGCTCTCTCTGCTTTGAGGGTTCCCTCCCCCAAAACCATCCAACACGCCGCCAGGGTCGGCGGACCCTAAACCCTAAACCCTAGACCCTAGACCCTAAACCCCAAACCCTAAACCCTAAACCCTAAACCCCAAACCCTAAACCCTAAAACAGGTGAAGGAGGCCGTGGTGGATGCCCTCAGGGACCAGGGCTTCATGGAGGCCTTCCAGGAGGCCATGTGCAAGAGCCTCAAGGACTCAAGGGATTCAGTATGGGGGGGGGGGGGGGAAGGGTTTAGGGTTTAGGGTTTAGGGTTTAGGGTTCAGGGTTCAGGGTTTAGGGTTTAGGGTTTGGGGTTAGGGGTTAGGGGTTAGGGGTTAGGGGTTTAGGGTTTGTAGGCGGGTTTAGGGGTTTCAGGGCTTAGGGGGTCTTAGGGTGTTATCAAGGGATTAAGGCTCGTACCCCTAAGGTTGTACCCCCTAAAGGTTTCCCTTGATATACTCCTGATATGGCCCTTCTACTAACATTAAAGACTATCCAATTATTTCCTTGGGCTTTCTTGATTGCAGCTTTCATACTTTTCTTAACATTGCCAATCCGATTTGGTACAGTTCTTTTAATATTGGGTGATCTTCATTCTAATACACTTTTCTTTGATCCTATACTTGGAGGGGATCCTATATTCTATCAACATCTATTTTGAGTTTTTGGACATCCAGAAGTTTACATCTTAATAGTTCTGCATTTGGGATCATTTCCATAATAATTTCTGGGATTTTACAATTGATAACCTTTGGTAACCAATCAATGATCTTTGCCATGTCATCTACTTCTCTTCTTGGAAGTCTTGTTTGGGGGCATCATATGTCTACTGTAGGTTTAGAAGGCGATACAAGAGCATACTTCACAAGAGTTACAATCTTAATGTCCTTACCAACTGGTACAAAATTCTTGAATACCTTTTTTTACATATCTTGGAAATCCACCATTATTACGCCTTAGAATTAGTTCTGTCCTCTTGTTTTTTCCGTGTTTACAAAAGGGTGTTCTACAGGAACAATTCTTGGAAATGCTGCAGTAGATCTAGGATTACATGATACATATTATGTTGTAGCAAATTTTCATTTTTTCCTTTCTTCAGGAGCTGTAATTTCTATCTTCTCTGGAATAGTATAAAAATGGAAAGATTGTTGGTACTAAGAATTTATTACTTTCATCCTCTACTACACTTTCTCTTTTTCATCTACATTCAATATTTATTGGTATTCTTCTTACCTTTTCCCCAATGCCTGTCTTAGGATTAATGTTATGCTACGAAGAATCCCATCCCTTTCCAGATTTTTTTAATTCCGGGAATTCCCTGTCATCTATTGGATCAGGAATAACTTTCCTATCTTTTGGTTTATTCCGTTCGCACCACACTAATAGTAATCGTACTACCTTAAAGATCTGAAAAAGAGGGTCCCCAAACCCCCAAGGGTACAACCTTAAGGGTCCAAGGCAGAGTCCCTTGAAGGACAGCAACATCTACCGCTCGGCAGCAGCCGGCGTCGCGAGCTCTTTGAATCCGTTCGCGGCAAAAAAGGCAGAATCTCAGGTCAAGTCCCGATGTTCCAAACCCAGTTAGCCTTCAAAAAGCCTGAGTGCTGCTCAACAGCATCGTTTGGTCCCTGCGGGGTCTGAGGTTTCGTTCCAAGGCTTTAGGGGGTTGAGCTCCATGAGAACTGCATAGAGAACCTGCGATATTCTACGCTGGCGGCTGCTCAAGCCACCTGCCAAGCGTTGCCCAGAACCCATAGGAGCCATGAGCCTTCAGCAGTCCGCGGCCTTGCGGCGCCTGCGCTCCGACTGGGAGGAGCTCCAGCAGTTCCCCCTACGAGGCATCGCGGCGGCACCCCTGGCAGATAACCTCCAAGAGTGGCATGCCAACCTCACTCCCGAGCATGGCCACTACGCCGGGCTGCTGCTCCATGTGATCCTCAGCTTTCCGGACAGCTACCCCACAAACCCTCCGAAGGTCCGACTTTGTACCAACATCCCCCACTCCAACGTCATCCCTCAAATGCGTCAAGAGAAGAATTTCATCTGCATCGACATGCTCAAGAACTTCTTCTGGATGGGCGGCGAGGACAGCAGCAGGCCCTATGAGGGATGGAGCACCGCCTACGGTGTCTCATCCATCCTCCTGCAGGTGCAGTGCTTCTTGTTTGACGACTGGGCTCAGAACTACGACGGTCGTTACAAGCACACGCTCTGGGATGCCGTCATGGAGGAAGGCGGCCATTGGTCTATTGAAGTGCCCCTGTGGGCACGGTGGGACCAAGCCATGGCCCGAAGTATCCGAGGTCCGGATGCCACGAATCCCTGGGATCCACTTGGTGGGGGACGCGGTAGAACTGGAAGGCCGGCTTTTCCACATCGACCGCGTCCTTACAGACGGCAAGTTCGAGGTCACGCCAGAGGGAGGCGAGCCCCTCACGGTGACCGCCTTGCACTTCGGGCCCTCCCAAGAGCCACACAGTCACCAGCGGCCCCCCACCTCTCAAGCGCTTGCTGCTAAGCCGATCGGATGGCAGCTTGAAGCGGAGGTGGGGAGTAGCTGCAGCACTTTGCTGGACTCTTCCTCGGAGGCCACGAGCATCATCTCCAGAGGAGGTCTCAGCAACCTCCCCCTTGGGAGGAAGAGGCAGCGATGGCAAGATCTCCAAGTTGGCATGGAAGTTCAGGGGCGAGTCATGCGACAGCTGGACATGGGCTTCTTTTTGGACATCGGCTTCACGGTTCAGGGCCTCCTCCGCCGGGGTGGGGTCTGTGAAAGGAGGCTATACGGGCGTTGTGCAAGCCCTGTTGGAGCAGGAGCCCGCGAAATGCGCAGATGCTCTGTGCTTGGCGCGCTGCCCCAGTGCTGGCCTGCCCCTGGCCGACGACCACATGCATGCGAACGTGGATATGGTGCATGTTATAAATGTCGCTCGAAGTCAGGGAATTACACTGAGCACTCATGTATTGACTGGGGTATTCGTGGAGGTCGCCTGCTACGTTGGGGATGCGGCCCTGGCATCATCACTCGTAGAAGCAGGAGCTGATCCCATACATTGGCAGCAGGCAAGTTGCATGCCCTTTGCAACGCCGCTGTTGCATGCGGCATCCAGGGGTTTCGACAGCATGGTGGCATTTCTGCTAGACGCAAAGGCTGAGGTTGACCAAGGGTTTAGGGTTCAGGGTTTAGGGTTTAGGGTTTAGGGTTCAACAGCCCTCTACATCGCTGCAGATGGGCGGAAGTTTGCGACCGTGATCCTTCTTCTTCGTCGGGGGGCGGATCCTTCGGCATTGACAGTGGATCTCCTGAAAGTTGCTTGCATCCTCGTCGACGCGAAGCGCAGCGGCAACAAAGCTGCTTTGATTGCTCGTGTGAAGCAGTGGCAGGCCCAAAATTCTTACGTTCAGAGTACAGGAGCTAGGTTGAGCCCAAAACCCTAAACCCAAAACCCTAAACCCTAAACCTTAAACCCTAAACCCTAAACCCTAAACCCTAAACCCTAGACCCTAGACCCTAGACCCTAAGCCCGGCACCCACGCGGTGCCCGAGTCGACCCCCTGATCTGATTCGTCTTCCGCAAGCTCGGAACTGACGCGGGTTTGGGGTTTGGGGTTTAGGGTTTAGGGTTTAGGGTTTAGGGTTTAGGGTTCCCAACCCTAAGCCGAAAACAAATCCGAGCGCCGTCGAGAGAACTGAAGGCTGAAGCTCCAAAGTCGTGCTTGCTCTAACGCGCGAATGCCTCCAAGTTCCAATCGGGGTAATCGGGGGCTAGAAGCCAGAATCAACCCTAAACCCTAAACCCTAAACCCTAAACCCTAAACCCTAAACCCTAAACCCTAAACCTTAAACCCCAAACCCTAAACCCTAAACCCTATGTTGCAGTAAACTCCAGAAAGTTGGATGACTAGAGCTGGGATTCAATTCCGTGCACCTTTTGGAGCATGGGGATAAGGATGTTCCAACTTTTTGGAGCGTACTGTAGAGTTTACGATGTGTAAGATATGATATACAACATATGGTACAACCTATGGTATATGATATGTAGCAACAGAACATAGATTTCGGCCCCGGAGCCCTTGAAGGCAGAGACCGTAAACCTGCAACCCCAAACCCGCAAACTTCTAACCCCCAAACCCGAAGCTCAGCTCTTTTCAAAGCCGAAGCCCAAAGCCCAAAGCCCAAAGCCTAAAACCTAAAGCCTAAACCCACAACCCTAAACCCTAAACCCTAAACCCGAAACCCTAAACCCTAAACCCTAAGCCCGAAACCCGAAACCCTAAACCCTAAACCCTAAACGCCTGAACCCTAAACCCGAAGCTCTTCCACTCAGGCTGGGCAAGGGGGCCTACGGAACGGTGTTCCTCTGCGACGACCAGAAGAGTGGCGAGCAGGCCAGGAGAGGGCGAGCAGGGGTTGAGCATAGTTTAGGGTTTAGGGTTTAGGGTTGAGGCTCCCGAGCTTTGAGTCTAATTGAAGGTTTTTCATAAAGGGGGTTTTCGACATTAGGGATACTTTTTTTTGGGATCCCTACACAAAATGGATCCTACTGTTTGGGGGTCTATATTAGAGGGTCCCTTAATTTCGTAAGCCCCCCCACAATTAAATTGTTCGCAATAATGCTGAGACTTACATAAGGTAATTGTAACCTTGCGACGTGCGCGGTTTTGATGTTCGTATTAGGGCGGGGATACAGTAACCCAAGGTTCCCATCCCTAGCACTCCCCCCAACACTCCCTGAGGCTTCCCCCGCCACAGACCCACCACCCCTGTTTAAGGCCGAGGGGTTTAGGGTTCAGGGTTTAGGGTTTAGGGTTTAGGGTTTAGGGTTTAGGGTTTAGGGTTTAGGGTTCCCGAAAACCTGAACCCAAAACCCTATTCCCATATACCCCTAAACCCTAGCATCTCGTTCCCCGGGCTTGGTCTGAGGTTGACATGGAAGGAGGGAAACACTCCAAGGCGTTCCAGGGTTTAGGGTTCGGAGTTGAGTATTGTGGGTTTTTAAAGTTGCAGCAAGCGAGAAATTGGAGTGGTGGATTTCAGGAGTTTCGGCTTTGGTGCCTGAGGTTCGGTGGGGCCAAGAAAACTCACGGCGCCTCAGACGAGAGGGACAGAAAAAGAGACAGGTGGCCGTGAAGCATGTGAAGCAAGCGGCGCGCCACGGCAAGAGCATGCTGCGCGAGGCGACGCCGGGGGGGGGGGGGGGGGTTTCGGGGGGGATGTTCAAGCCTTTAGTGGGGGGTGGGGGGGGGGGGGGGGGGGGAGAGT